AAACAACATCAACACCAAAACACAGAAAGAAACTGATTGTCCATACTCTGTCTATTAAGTCTTGGTACTTTACAGATCCATTGTTTTTTTCTTTTAATTATTTTTTGTCTTTTATTTGAAAAGCAGTTAAATGTCTGACTAGGACTCGAAGATGTTAAAATGAACGCAAAAAAAAAAGAAAAAAAAAGAAAAAAATTATAAAAACAGGAATGAGATTTGCGAGAAAATATTTTTGGTTCTAAAGAGACACAGGTGCATCCATTCATTTCAGCCAAAAATCCCTTGCCTGAGACAACACAAGCAAGCAGTGACATTGCACTTGGATGACAGAGCTTTGGGATTCCCGTTCCTACTGGAACCATCTGAACGCGGCTCCTGTAGGAAGCATCACCTTCTGGAAAGGAAGAGAGACAGGGAGGGGGGACAGAAGAAGAGACAAGGCGTTAGGTCGGGTCCGGCACAGCCACGCGGCACCAAGGTTGGGCACCCTCCCCTCACCCCTGAACCGACACCCCCGGACAGCAGCCTCGGGACAGATCCAGCCCAGGCTCAGCATCCTGCAGTGCAGCTGTGCATCCCAAGGTTTCCAACCCAGGATGCCAGCCAGAGGGAGACAGGGGTACCTCCACTGCTGGTCCCCTCCCTGTCAGGACACCTACACAGCAGCTCAGCCATTGTTCCTATGTACCCAAGTCTCCGTGTGGGGCACAATGGCACAGCCCCTGACTTCTCCTCTGGCCAATGGAGAGGAGCACAATGGCCTGGACACAGGGAGTCAGCATGACCCAGCACAGCACAGCAACCTTCTTGCTGCCAGCCCCCACTGTCCCTGCCATGGATGGACAGAAGGACACCCAGAGGACAGGAGCCCAACCAACAGATAGGTTTAGGAGTGCATTTAGGTGGAAAATGAGGCAGGATGTGAGCTGGATGGGCTTGGGAACACCACACCCGGGAGCTGCTTGGGATATTGCTGCCACCCAGCCTCAATGAACAACCTTGTCCCCAACAGAGCAGCCCCAGGCACCACTGGGCACCTCCTGGCACCTCACAGGGAAGAGAGATGAGTCCCACCAGGCTCAACCTCACACTCAACAAAGTGCCTAACAACAGACAAGACCTCTTTGTAGCCACCTCCAGGAAAGGTGGTGTGGAGCAATGCCCCAATGGCTCTGTGGTCCTCTGCAAGGAGAACCTGGGTCATTTCCCAGCTGGATGCGGTCGGAAGCCTGTGCCATGTTCATGAAAACATGGGTGGAGTATGCCAGGACCACAACATCTCTCAATGACAACAGCCCCCAGTCAAGGCCAAGCCATGCTAGCCAGCCACGCGATCACCAGGAGGACTGCACAATCACATCAGATGACCCTCCAGTTCCCACATCTCCAAACAAGCAAGGGACACCAACAGGAAACAGACCACAGGCTGCAGGGCAGCATTCCCTCTGCCATGAGGCAATGGGACGCACAGTGTTGAAGCTGCATAGAGGGCTAGGACACCTCCTGTGTTGTCCCAAGAGTCAAACCCATGCCACATTCTGATCCTTAACCCCATACAGGAGTCAGCCAGCTCTCATCAGGTCCTTCTCTTGGACCAAGACACTCTCCAGGCCTCAATGAGCAAGCAAGGCAGTGCTCCCCCATCCCTGCAGGAGGGACCCCAACGTGCTCACTTCCACAGGTACCACACCCAAACATGGGGCTTGAGCAAGGGGAAGGGAACAAAGGGCCAGAATGGGCAAGAGCTGGTGGTGCCCACTAGCCTGCTGACAGATCACATCTGCTCCTGCTCCCAGCCCATGGTGGGTCCTCTGGGCAAACTGAGCTGAGGCAGTCACAAGCTGCAGGCATCGCCCCTTACCCAAAGCTCTGTGATGTAATCAGGCATCTGGGGAAGGCACAAGTGCCTCTGCCCAACAACGCAGGACAGCACACTGCCCATGCTGGATCCCACTCAAGGCACTGGATGCAGAAAAGGCAAGGCAGGGCATGGTGGACTCTCCAGCAAGGTTCACCTACCCAGATCCATCATCCCAGGAGAGCACAATGAGGGGAGAGGGGGCTCGTCATGGGTCTGGAAGGAGATGTCTGACAAACACCTCTGCTCTTTCATTATTAAAGGAAGAGGGACAACCAGCTCTGATGTGGACGCCCAGGATGGATCCCCCTCATCCCCACAATCATGACCTCACAGACTGGTTTGGGTTGGAAGGGAACTTAAAGCTCATCTTGTTCTACTCCCTGCCATGGGCAGGGCCACCTTCCACTAGACTAGGTCGCTCCAAGCCCTGTCCAACCTGGCATAGAACAGTTGCAGGGATGGGGCAGCCACAGCTTCTCTGGGCAACCTGTGCCAGTGTCTCACCACCCTCACCATAAACAGTTCTATCTAAATATTTCTAACTAAATCTACCCTCTGTCAGTTTAAAACCCTCACTCCTTGTCCTCTGTGGTGAGAGTCACTTTGTGAGGCTGACATGAGGGTAGCAGTGACCCTCAATGATGCTAGCTGGGGCACCAAGGCATTTCACCACAGCTTCTCTGGATGGAGAACAGCTCTGTTGAGTCAAATCCCCACTATTCATGGCCTTCATGTGACCTACAGCTTTACAGACAAACCCAGGGTGACCTGTCCACAGCCAGCTAACAGCTGCCATGGCATTAGCCAGGGTTGCTGGGGCTGGCAGAGCCCAGAGGAGCCTGGTCAGTGCAGGGACCTGCTGCTGCCTGCTCCAAGCATCCAACCTGCCTCACCAGTCTTAGAGCCCCAGGCAGCCACTACCACAGTGGGACACCAGCAGCAACCGGTTATTTGGGCTCTGTAGATGTGCAGATAAAGCTTAACAGCAGCTGAGGGATTTAGCCCGTTTTTTATGCTGTCATAAAGGTTTAATTCTATTTTTTTTTACTGCTAGATTTTAGATCAACGTTTAATCACAGCTGCGGCCCCTGTCCGAGCTCTCCGAGGATGTTCCTCTGGACACACAGCACTGACAGGACAATCATTGTTCTTCTCCCAGGCAATGGCACTGCTCCCTGCAGAGGGGGATGATGCTTCACAAGGCCCTGTGAATGCTTCAGCCCCATATAAAGGGTGGCATCACAGATGCCACCCCAGCTGGACCAGCAGTCCATGGAACTCTGCATCCTGACCCCCTCCAGATGGGTGTCCACCACAAGGCAGGTGCTGGTGGCTATCCTATGACTGTCCCAACACAACATATAACCACGGCTGGTTGACACAGGCTTAGGTTTAACAGGCCAGGTTGACCCAGGTGACCTCAGGACATCAGCTGGGGTCATGGCATCCCTGTTCCAGCCACATCGTGTTCAACCCTACCTAGGTCAACACATGGCACAAGTGGATATCCTTAGAGAGGAAAGGATCTGGCATGAAAAGGGATGGTGATGCCCTGGAGCGACTCACATCTGCCAAGTCCTCCATCCCCATCAGCACATCTCTCTTGAGCCTCAACACACCTGGTCATGCCCATGAAGGATGGGAATTCATCTCTGGTGGGGTCCAACTCTGCCACATGAAGAGCCCTATTCCAGTGGCCCCCATTTCTCAGCCAGTTATGAGATGGAGAAACCAATCACAAGGGTGACCATTCCATGGGCTCCTGGTGCTATTTATCACCCTCAGACCCAGCTCAGCACTGGGAGAAGGGAGTCATTCCTCCAGCTGCTGCGAGCTCTGAGTCTATTGACCCGCTCTAGGACTCTTTGGAAGAAATGAACTTTTTTTTTTTTCCCTTTCTCCCTTTTTCCAGATCACTGACTCAGCAAATTAGAACAAGAATATAATTTAGCAATACAGCGGTTTTTGAAAGACACAGTCCCTCTCTCCTCATCCCCACCGCCCAAATAGATTTTTTTTTCCCCTTCACTATTCATTCAGAGCTGATGCTAATTGAAAAACGTAGAACGTGGCTAAGGGAACAGCAGGTTTTGGTTGCATTGGGATGAGCAATGCCCTCGTGCCAGAATGAATGATACAACTGATGTCCAGGTGACTTTTTAGCCTCTGCCAGCTCTGGGGATGCACTCAGAGGAAGGAAGAAGCATCCAGCACAGATGATGGTGGGATCAGCTCACAGGAAAATCAAACCTGGCTTAAGCACAACATATCAGGGACGCTACAGACCGAGAGCACCAGCAAGAGTCAGGCTCTGCCAGAGCAGTGTGTCCATGGGACATCCCTGCACTGCTGCCACCCAGGCCTCACCCACACCACACCATCCCAAGCTACCAGCAGCTGCCCATGGCTCTGGTTGAATTTCAGATCCATACAATGACACAAGTCACTGGACTTGTCCTGTGTCCCCACATGAATGTCACACCTGCCCAGTGCATTTGGCAAGGTGACACCCCAATCCAGTGGCTCTCCTCCAAAGCCAACGGCAACATCCAGAGGTGGGCCATGGTGAGCACTGACAACCTGACCACCACCCTAGAGCCTGACACCAGGGCACGTGGGCATCCCCAGAAGGAGCAGGGGTGTTCCCAGCTCCATCAGGTGCTGGAAGCATACACACTGCTGGTGGGGACTGCTGTGCCACTGCCACTGGAAAATCCAGCTGGTGCCTTAAGGACTCATCCTGACTACCCCAGATAGATGCTGGCCCATGGAGACACAGCACAGCCACATCATGGGAGATGCTGCCCAGTGAATGCTGCAGCTGTTCACCCCCAAAGCCAGGGACTGCTGTGCTCCTGCTCAGAGCAGAGTGAGCTGAGGGGCTGGGCTCCAGCTGCACCATGGCCATGGGTTTCACCATCACCAATTACCCCAAGCTCTACCCCAAAAGGTCACTCCTAGCCTCCTCATCCTCTGGGGTTAGATGCTGCTCCCCACCTCAGGGAGCTGCCAGCTGGTCAGGACAAGGGATGCCATCATTAAAACCCCAGCAGAGCCCTGCTGCTACCCAAAGCCTGTAGAGGGGAGAGTTGAGCCCAGTGTGCCCACGGACCCCAGGGAGAGACCTCAGCCCTCCTCCCCACAACAATCCAGTATGTAAAGGAGGGCAGGTACTGGAGGCATTGGGCAGAGCACACATCTCCGGGCAAGAGCTGTTAATGGAAAAGGGGAAAATAAAAAAAAGCAAGAAGTACCAGGTGTTTTATTATCTAGGGCAAGATCCAAACCCAGGAGCGCAGCCCGAGAAGGGGTTAGGGTGCCTGAGAGGGGCTGGTTACCTCCAGTGCTGCAGAAGGCTTCTTTTTGAGTTCTTCACATTTTCGGAATTTGCAAATCTGGTGGCCAGTTTTGCGATTCCTACAACTGCTGCACTGCTCGCAGTTTATCCGTCTTCGGCAGGGCGGGCACATGCCGCATCTTTTCCGTTTCTTTTTCCCCGAATTGATGGCAGATGCCAACTCATTCTGCATACCGCCACCCCAGCCATATGGAGCGCGCTCTCTGCCAGAAACACGCCGGCAGGGGTCATAATGAAAAGGCCTGGGTTGATGGGAAAAGCCCCCAGGTAAGGAAAATCAGAGGGGCCGTTCATTGTCTCTGCAGCTGAGACTGCCTCCATGTCAGAGATACCAGTCCCGTGGTCGCCTGCTAGAGGAAGATGCTCCTGTACCACTCTTTTGAGCATTTCTGTCGACTGAGCAAACTGTTGGAGGGCGGTCTGTCCTTCTGCGGAGAGCTCCGACACCCGGTCTAATTTGCTCAGCATACTAGAGATGTTTTTGTGCTTTGAGGTAGAATGACTTTTATCCACAGTCGCATCGTTGCCATTAGCTAAGGGGTTGCCTTTCTCTGAATGTTCGCTTACCGAGCTGCTGCTACCAAAGGTGGAATAGTGGGAGAGTGGACGGGACTTCTTAAGACTTTTGTTCAAAGGTTCACTTATTATTCCACTTTTGTTCCTCCTCTCGGAGTTGACAGGGGGTTGAGAGTCATCTTGGTTATTTTTTTCCGTCTCTGGCTTGTTCCCAGTGTCTTGATGGGAGCCCGAATTTGACATGGTGCCCGGAGCACAACAGCAAAACCAGCGGACCAAAAAAAGCACACCAAAATTTAAAAAAAAAAAAAAAAAAAAAAAAAAAAGACGAAAAACCAAAAAAAAAAAACCCCAACCCAACCCCAAAAACCCACCCCCAAAGCCAAAGTGAAAGACGCCCAAAGCCCTTCTGGTAGCACCAGCCCGCCAGCCGCCAGGAACGCTCAGGTGGGAACGCGCATCAATGGGGCGTCTCCTCCCGCACCGGCTGCGGAGGACTCAGGGCGCTCTCAGTGCACAGACATACTCTGCAGCTCTGGGACACACCACGCGGCTCTGGAAGGAGAAAACCCACCCCCAAAGCCAAAGTGAAAGACGCCCAAAGCCCTTCTGGTAGCACCAGCCCGCCAGCCGCCAGGAACGCTCAGGTGGGAACGCGCATCAATGGGGCGTCTCCTCCCGCACCGGCTGCGGAGGACTCAGGGCGCTCTCAGTGCACAGACATACTCTGCAGCTCTGGGACACACCACGCGGCTCTGGAAGGAGAAAAGAAAAGAGAGTTAGTGCTGGCAAGAGCCAACAGGCTTTTCAAAGCAGCTCTTCCTCCCCCTGCCACGAAAGTCTCAGCGCCGTGAACAAAGGAACTCCAGGGAACGGACCTCGGTGGAGATCCGTTCCGCTGCTCTCTAAAAGGGTCGCCATCCAGACAGAAGTGGGGGGTCACAGGGGAAGTCCTGGCCTGGTAGCAATGGCACTCCGATGCTTAAAGACTCTCTGTGCCCAGCTCTCCTCCCCCAGGACAGCAGTCCCAGGGAAGTCACGGGGCTCATCTCCTGCTCCGCTCCAGCGGCGTGCGGCCCCACGCCGGATGGGACCGTAGGCGCCGGCGGGATGCTCTTGAGCCAGTAGCTGGAGCTCATGCAAGGGGCGCCTGCTTCCCACTGAGACTGCCCATGTCCCCCCAACCAGCTGCCATGGAGGCAGCATCCTGGCTCCCAAGGACCACAGTGATGCTGCTCATGCCACTCAGGCTACACTGCACCCCTCACCCTTCCCCTCCTCCTCCTCTTGAATCATTGACCCCAGACCAGCACTGGGCAGGGGAAGGAAGCCACATGGAGAGCGGCAGCATCCATCTCCAAGCCATGCAGGGATGCACAGCACTCTCCTCCAAACCACACCAAGAGCTGCAGTGTCCACCTCCAAGTCCCAAGGGGAACTGCAGCATCCAACTCTGAGGCCCTTTCAGTGTCCACCTCCAAATCCCATGGGCAGCCATGGTGTCCATCTCTCCACACCCCATGGTGTCCATCTCCACACCCCATGGGCATCCATGGCGTCCAACTCCACACCCCATGGGAAGCCCTGGTGTCCACCTCCAAACCCCATGGACAACCTCCAAACCCACCCAAGAGCTGCAACAGCCACCTCCAAACCCCACGGGCATCCATGGTGTTCTCCTCCAAGCCCCACCAAGGGCTGCAGTGTCCATCTCCAAACCAAATAGGAAGATGCAGCATCCACCTCCAAGCTCCACAAGGAGCTGCAGCATTCCCCTTCAAACACACAGGGAGCCACAGCATCCACCGCCAAGGCCCAGTGCTGACCTCCTGCCATGCCCCCACACGCCCCGCAGCTCTGGTGGAGCCAGGGGCTCAGCGGTGACAGCAAGAGCTCTCCGGGAGCGGACGCTGTGCTGATGTCCCCGGGGCGACTCCGGGGCAGCTGGGCTCAGTGTGGCTGCAAACACTTGTTGTTGTGAAATTCCTCCTCCTCCTCCCTCCCGAGCACGCACGCACACACAGGCACCGCCAAGTAATCAGGCTTTAGAGGAGAAAAGCTGCAGGGCTTAGTGGAGCAGGAACCCGCGTCCCCACCCCGGCGGCAGCTGGGGGAGGGCGGCCCTGGGAGGAGGCCCCTCGCCTACCCCATCCCTCCACCCGGGCTGTCCCGGCAGTCTCCTCTCCGGAGTCCGGCCAGGGATGTGGCCATGTGTGGGAGAGCTCCTCTGCAACCCTGGCTCCTGCCCAGGGGTGATGCAGCAGAGCGAGGGGCATCCCTGCACTCCCCACTACTGC